AGGGAAAGGCTGATGAAATACGAATCCGAGGATCATATTTGCGTCCATAACATTTTCTTTTTTGTGCTCTCACCACTGCCGCCTGAACAAAACATACAAGAGAAAAACTTATTAGCAACGATTACCGTTTTTGTTTTGATATTAACACCGTATGTATTTTGATATGTCTGCTGTTCTTCAAAGAAGGCAATGGAAATCAACACGCAGGGAAGCAGAGACGGAATATAAAACAGCAACCATTATCGGCATGCAAACTGGCTCAGCGTGAATTCTCTGGTGGATTACCTGCTGTGTTCACACATGGGATTGACTAGAAACTACCTGAACTTTACACTTCAAAGGTAAACCTCGAACTGATACAGGCATTTGCATTCTGCAACACAGGCCTTTCTATGAAATGTCTAGAAAATGTTTGGAAAACTGCTTCCTCGACTACAACCTGCAGCTTAGCTTAGCTTTTGAAAACATATGGAAATGTTAAAAGTGTCCACCTATATCACGTTCTCATGGTGTGACAAGCTTTAGTTAAAAACACCACAGTTTTTAAGGTATCACGGTAATGGCACAATGTTTTAAATAATGTAAAAACAGAAAACCAAAATGCTGTAGGAATACGTTAATAAACGGATTACTACTACAGGTGCGCAGGCATGTACTGGTGATTGGAAATGAGTGATTTTGAAGTTGATGGGATCTGAAAAACAACAATTCAGATCATTTTTTTTCTGTGAGAGAGCACGACTTTCAGAGCATAACAGGAAGGCTGAAGTATATTAGTGAGCATTTTTAGAGTCTACATTTCTAATTTAACTGAGTTAAGGACTTGAACTATTACAGCAAAGTTGATCTTTTAATCCTTTTGGACTTTTAAGATAAATAAAACATGCACAACTTGGAGATATGTGTAGCCTTTTGGAAGTCTGAGGTAATGTACGGCTCTACATCCTCTGGTAAACACACAGGGAGACTGCTGTTTTCCTAAAACTAGCTGTGGCATCTGCTAAAATAGAAGTCAGTTAAAATGTCAACCCTGCAATCATTTTGACTTTCTTTAAAGCAAAGCTGTGGCTTTGCTTTTAGCAGCTGATCTCTCACACAGTGTGCCATCACCTCTGCTGCTAATGAGATTAGGTCACAGTAGGAGGGCTGAAAATATATATTTTCAAAGTTGTTCTAATATAGTCCTTAAAGAAAATTAATTAGATTTTGATATATAGCCTTAAGCATAAAATATGGAACAAACGCCTGCTGAGTGTAAAAGTAGTTTCTCAGAGGCACAGAATAAAATAGCTTTTATTTTGGCCATTTTTGAACTGCGCTTTACAGAGTTATAACAGATTTAACAGGCGGGTAGACACTGCAAAACAGAGCTTGATGGTTGTGTTTTTTAAGAGGCACTTGAAATGTTTACAGAGAACTAAAATAGTCTTGCTTGTAAGTGGGAGAAGTATAACAAGTGTAGGACACCTAAATGGAGCAGCAACAGCTGGGGGAAGGGCAGCGGCGCTTTTCTTAAAACTGGACTAAATTCTGCCACTTGCAACTCATTGTAAGGATTTTAAAGCACAATAGCATGATGGAAATGTTTGGTGGCTTTGAATACCTTTCAAAAAACCTTGTGTAACATGATTCTGGCAACTAGATGACCTTGGGTCCACATTTTAAAGGATTTTTTCCTACTTGCATTGCAAATAACTTGTTATTCCCTTTATATGTGTTTTATATTTCAATTCGCTGATATATGTCCTCAAATACGTTGCATCAGGTCAGTGATCGAATGCCTCAAGTTACCATATTAATTCGTAATGTCTCGATTTATCCTCCAGCTATAACTCAGACTCCCCTGTTCATCTGGGATTCCTGCTAACAAATCTAACTCTCCAATGCTTTAAAGTACAACATGTATCTATCTTCCAGTACCTTACGCAGTTTTGACAGCTCTATGTTTTTATGTTGAATAGACTGTGCTTCAATAATTCAGGGTTTTGGGAAATGCTCTGATCTGCTTTCTCGCCAAGACTTAGGGCTAGGTTACGCTTTCCCAGCACTCCAAATCCAGACGTCAATTTAGGACACACCAGATATCAGATCTGCATGGAGGTGGAGCGTACAGTCGGCGTTCACAGCGAAGGGCCCGCTTTCAATGGAAGACATTGAAATATTGATTAAGATGGGGACGATGGCGCCCGATTTCAGACAGTCTCTCTCCAGGTGCACATTGACAGTTTGCACTCAGTAAGTTACATCAAAAGTCCCACACATTGTTGAGCTACAAATAAATAAAGAATGGAGAGTGCAGCTGCTCTCTCTTGGTGAGTAAGTCTGAGTTTTTGGAGAGATGCGGGTGTAGTGAAGGATTGCTGGTTCTGTAAAGACAGAGATAATGATTGACACAGACACTCTGCTTTAAGGATTTAAGTGAAGAAGCTTTTTGAATCTAACCAACCTCCCCACAAGCGTGTCAGATGAACTAAATCCATCCTAGGAAAGGAATATTTATACTTTTATCAAGCCTGCGCAGTAAAATTAGCTCAGGAGTTAGTAGATTCTTCCGATATTGCCAACCGTGTGCTGCAAAACACTCTAAGATAATCTTAATTTTTGAGCATTCAGCGCAAATGAAAAGAAAAAGTGATTTCCGTAATGGGCTTGCTCTTCAGTGTTGTGCACAAAAAGAAATACTGAGGAGCTACAGAGCTGAATGTGTGAGTACAATCTGTGTTTGTGCGTCTTTGACAGAGTTGTGTCTAGGGAGATTAGACCTCGGCTTCCCGTAGTTCCTGTCCCCTTCCTGTCTCCTGGTCTGGTGGGGGCCGGCCGCCAGCACATACATCTTTCACATGCACAGTAGCGAGCGGGACATGGACTCCCTCCCCATCTGCTGCATGACAAAAAGCCTCTTGTGGGTACATGTGGATGGCCTTAGCTACTGTAAGTGTAGGTCTTGGAAAAGTGAGATCAAAGGAATGAGGGTGTGATGAGAAAGAGGTGTTAATGTTTGACACGTCGTGCTTTTCTGGTCTGTAGGGACTCATTTAAAAAAGGGCTGTGGTTTGCATCTTTCCCAGGACAGGATGTGGCTTGGTTAGGGAGGATGCTTCACACTCAACAGAGCTAACAGATGCCTCTAAAGACAATGGAGACCCGGTCTGTGATCCTTGACCTCTAAATAGCCCCTTTTTGAGATCATCCTTTTGTTTATTACATTTCGACCAATTGAAAGGTCCAGGCATGAACGGGGATTTACATCTACCCACTAATATTACAACCATGCTCAGGAGTTATTAATAAACCAGTAACCACTATAAACAGTAAGAGGTAATGCTGGATTGTAGAGCACATACGTATTACTAAGCAAAGACAGCAGCAGCAGCTGTTCTGTCTGCAGGTGCGCACAGAAGTGAGAAATCAGATGATACTACAATGCCCATCTAATATCAGGAATATGTGGATCGGCAAAATCCGATGCACAATAACATGCTAAGGATGGCGCACATAAACTCTGGGTTGAATTTGAAACACTAAATGCATTTGGACAGCGAGTCTACAAGAGCATCACAACACAGAACCCACTGGGGAAATCAACACAACCAAAAGTTACAGGTTGCAAGTCTCTGCCACTTAAATCTGCAATCGTAGCAATATAAGCTGAATGCTCACATGGTATTCAGCCTTGACGTGTACTGCCTTGATATGAAAACATGAAGGATGCAGAATGTTGACCTCATGATGATGTGCTTGTTGTGCGACTAGAATGGGAAAAAAGGCTAATATTGGAAGAACAAAGGTGCATTTCCATGGCTGGAACATTCTCGAAGAACAACGGTTGCTTTACCGATGTCATTTCCATTGCAGGAACTAGCAGTGTTAAGTCAGACTGGCAGGGCGGAAAGTTACCCCAGAAGGAGGTAGCGCTTTTTGAATGTGACCTGAACCAAAAGCGGAGTTTCATAATGGAGAGCGTTGACCATTTCTTGGTGCATTTTTGTTTCACTCATCATCAACAGTGGGTATTTTCACTGTAATTATGAAACAGGAGTGATATTTTTGGTTTGCAAGTTCAACATGTCACCCTAATCACTTGGGTTTAACGTGACAGTGTTTTCCGCTGATCACATTCACTAGTTAGCTAATCTTGGTGGAAACTAAAAAAATAATTTAGATGTTGAGTTCTGGTTTCAGCCTTTTTAAACCTGTAATGTTCAAACTTGAGTGATTTAAATTCAGTTTCAGTGTGTAAGAGTTGGGAAATTACCATAAAGGTTATGACACGGGGTGTCCTTTCGCTTCAAAGGCGTGTAAACATGGAAGTTGATCCCAACTCCCAGATGGGGAGGGAAGCTGTGTACCACAGTTGACAGTGCATGTCAGAGCAGAAACACCAAGCATGAAATCCATGAAATTGTCTGTGGACCTCAGAGACGGGATGGTCTTGAGGCCCAAATCTGTCGAAAGATACAGAAATATTTCTGCTGCTTTGAAGGTCTGAGTAAGCTCAGGGTTCTCCATCATTGGTTTGGAACCAACGGGACTCTTTCTAGAGCTGGTGGCCCGTCTAAACTGAGTGATCAGAAAAGGGAATGGCTTTAGTCAGGGTGGTGATCAAGAACCTGATGGTCACCCTGTCAGAGCTCCAGCAATCTTCTGTGGATAGAGGAGAAGCTTCCAGAAGGATAACCGTCTCTAGATGACAGACTAGTCAGAATAAAGGAAAAGATAAATGGAGTAATGAACAGAAACATCCTGGATGAAAACTTGCTCCTCAGTCCTCTGACTTCAGACCGGGGTGACGGTTCATTCTTCAGCAGGACAACGACTCAAAAAACATGGTCAAGATCTCAAAGGAGTAGCTTCACAAGTTCTGAAGTGGCCAAAACCAGAAAGAACATAAAACAAGAAGATTCCAGAAAAAATGTTCTGGGTAACACATGTTTTGATAATGTTAGGTATTTATAGTACAAAGTAAATTTTCTTTAAAAGGTCTCAACCAGGAGAACTTATGGTAGTTCATCCTTTTCATCTTTCACAGCTACAGAGAAAAATCCCAGCAAAACAGCTTTCATTCGGGTTTATTTTTTTCCTAAAAATGTTTTAATTTCCCATAATGACAAGCAAAGATTTACTAATAGATTGTCTGAGGTATTGGCACACAAAACAATTTGAGATGAATAAATGCTAGAGCCATCCACGATGTATTTACATTGCCTTTTAATTAACAGTGGAAAACTGGAGGGGAAAGCTGCTGCATTATTCAAGTCACATCGGACCAAAGTGAATATCAGCTTCTTATTACAGACATATAAAAAGTTTTGACCTTGCCATAAAACGAGAAATTAAGGTTAAGAGGCTTCAAGTCTCCTTATGAGACTTCAACTTGGTTCCCTGCCGATTTATATTGCCGCGACCAATAATGAGTTTTGACCTGTGGTGTCTGCTGAACCGCATTTGTGCATCATGGAAAAGCAAAAGCAAAAATGTATTATAAGCAGAAAGGAAATAATTAGAGAATGAAATGTTCATCTTTTTAGATGAATCAGGAATTTAACTTTTGGGCTTTAAACCCACAGTATCTGTCTCCTACATCGTGATTAGTTAAATGAATTTGCCTTACAGTGAATTTGTGCTTCTTTGGAATATTGATCGGCTACTGAGAGAATTTAGTTCCTGCTGCTTTCAATTATGAAATCCCTTTGTCAACTCTTCTTCAAAAGCAGCTAAACTGAACTCAGGGCCTTCTTGAGGACATGCCTGCAGGCTGCAACAGCTCATGGATACAAAATCCTAAGATGTGAAAAACAACTGAATTTCAATTTTACTTTTTAAATTAATTTAGATTTTCTACAATTACTTTTTAAATTCACATTCAAAATACACTACCAGATAAGCAGAGAGCTCTCTTGGGATATTGACTAATTTAATGTCCTGGTGTGAAATGAATCGGTGTCCAATCTGCCCAGTGGTTTGCCCAAAAGTACCGATTTTAAAATCCAATGTAGCTTAAAAACTCAATTCAACAAGAAATAACACAATAAGAAAGTTTTATAAAATTACCAATTCCTTTTTCAGTTTTTATTTTTTGTTTGTTAGGGGGCAAAAAAGTGACTGTAACTAACAGGTAAGGGTTAGTTAGCAGATGAAGGAATTGGATGATTTTCAGGTTGGCTTTCAATGATGGGCAACCAGCAGGTTGAAAATTCAACAATTTAATCTTTTTTTCTGATCAGTGATTGCGTTACACCTGTGCTACAAGGTCATGGCAACAGTAAAACTCTAGTTTGTAGCTGTGAAAGAAAGAGCAAGACTTTCAGAAAGTTACAGAAAGGCTGGGAGTAACAGTAACACAAAACATATCACTTCCCGTTTCTGTTCCTCAAGGCTCTTGTCACATCAAGTTTAAAATATAAACGTTCCTTGCAATTGCTTTAGTCACAATTTCAAGCAATCTCACACACAAAGTGCGATGCTGGCATTTTAACTCCGATGACTCTTTCGTCTCCTCGCATAGCAGAAGTTCTTCAAATGTGTCCTGTAATCCCCCAAAGGTAAGGTTTCACTCAAGCAATTTCCAAGGACCAGGGCAGGTCAAAGCTCTAAACTGGTTCTATAAAAACAAGGTCTGATCTGGCCGGTCTGGTTTTAAAGCTAGCTCTGGGTCTCATCATTACGTCACTAAAAACGTCTCCTTGAGTAACTGCTTGATCCTCCCTGGGATGATTTCTGGAGAGGATCAGAGTGAAGGTATTCGTCTCATCATGCCTGTTAACAGACGCCATAGTGTTGTCAACTTCATTTATGAAGGCTGTTTTAAATCAAAGTTGGTATTTGGGAACGCTCCATCCAAACCTGCATGTCTGATAGCAATGCAAATGGGATCTATACACACACACACACACACACACACACACACACACACACGTCTCGCATGTTTAATTAACATCACTTTGTGGTATGAAGGGACCCAATAGTGTTTATGACCAGGGTCGCAAAGACACTTTAAGATTCAAACAGCACTCTGCTTTATTTCACATCACAGGCAGCATGAACAGAAACAGCAGAAGAAGAGACATCAAGCTCGTCTTCTTCTATTATTAAGTTAAAGCTCAATGTTTTAACTATTGTTGTCCCATATAGAGTGGATTAGAAGTAAATCTAACTCAAGAGTTTTAAAGATGATGCTCACAACACCTGAATTAGTGGTTGGTCTACTGACTAAAACACTCATTTCAGACCCAGTGTTTGTAGTGGAAGAAACAGAAAGAACTTGTTCTAAGCGAGTTATAGCAGCACCAGCGTAGGACTGGAACAAGCTTGTTGGGAACAGAACCAGAGTCAGGCAACGTTTGAGAGAATATTTACACACAACATCTCTGAATGACACGCCCAACTTATCAACACCCCTGCAGAAAGTCAGAAAACAGTGGTACAGTGCAAAATGCAACTAATTAAGTAAGTTCCTGTACAAACCACCAAAAGCTCTAAACTAATCCCGTACAGGGTTTCCCCCAGAAAACTTGCTCAGGGCAAGCTCGGGGCGCAAAGACAGTCATGTTAAAATGTTTAAAGTTGGCAGGAAGTTTGAAAATTTCACCTGATGCGTTACTGTTTAGATTAATACCTAAACAGCAGCTATAAAGTCTTAAAAAAAGGCAATAATAAAAAAAATAAAATAAAATAAAAAAGCATAGCTTAGCCTGGTGGGGGCGTAAGTAAATACTTACGCGTAAGTAAATAAGTATAATACACTGTGGGAAACCCTGCCACATGTTATAAAAAATCATATGTGGCTGGAGTTTACAGCACCTCTGGCTTCAACACTACTTAACTTCGGAGGCTGTTTTCCGACTTAATTTAGATAATGAATAAACAAAACATATTTGAGAAACAAAACAAGGAACCTCATTTGCCAAAAAGATTTTTTACATTCTAAAAATGTTAAGTGTTAAAGGCAGCATGTAGCAAACTGCAGAGTTAAATTGAAGTGTAAATGTTAGCATCATTTCATACAGCTACCTACTCTTTTGAATTATAAAAACTTATTTCAAAACAAAACCACACCAGAAAAATAAAATCCGCTTAATTATAATCCAACATACTCATTTCTGAAACATTTATATTTTTAGTCTAAATCTCTAAATTTGCTTTAAATAGTCTGTTGAAAGATGAATCTGCAACCATTAGTTATCAAAATGTCACTGTCCTAATTCATGTAGTCTTATAAGAACGACTCTAAAGAAAAGTGCAATTTTCTTGGGTTTCAGTGTGGCAACAGGACACCTAAATAATGTATAGCTGATATCTGAACTAAGGCTGCTTGCTTCTCAGAAACATTGTTTGAAGACATCTACAGCTAACAAAAAATAGAAATCTAAATATTTTACACCACTGTTACTTCACTGTCTGACTTTAAATCAGACTAATCTCTTCCTGTGTTAGGTCAGTAAGGGTTTTGTCTATTTGCTAAATGGTAGAATAATAAAATATTATTTTTCTACTTTCTTCAAATTCAAAATTTCACATAAAATCTTTTGGTATTTGGTGGAAATCCCTTTCAAATCGTATGAGTTAGTTCAAACATTCTGGATTTCTCTCCACAAGCTTCTCACAGCAGCTCGAACTGGTGCAAAACTGGTGCAACTGGGTTAGTTTATTTAGGCCGCTTTGTTGGCACACACCTTCTCAGCTCTGAATTAGGCCAAACATTGTGGACGTATCCCTGAGTGCCTTTGCAAACTGTGATCTAGCTTTTTATTTTGCTGTTGAGATTGGCTTCTTCCACGCTCAGTGGCATTTCAGCCCAGGGGGTTCAGGACTCTCTTAGCAGCTCCAGCGTCTCCAGAAAATCATTAGGTTTTGTTCAGGAATTATTCTGGGGTTGACACAGTTTACCAAAAACACTCATCCCAAAAACACTTGGGCAAAATTGATTAAAGCCACAATGCTGAATTAGAAGAAATGCATTTTATAAATCATAGTTATTCTGGCATTTAGCATATTTAAACTATGGTAACTGGCCTAAAACAAGAAAAGTTTATTCTGATTTAATGTTAAACAATGGAGAAAAAGTTTGTGTTTCCTATGCTGAGTTTATATTTTGTGCTTTAACTCAATGTCTGAAAGCATTGGCTCTCTACACAATGTTTCTGTGCACTCAGGTTGTGAGAAATGTTGCTGGTGTCAACAAGTTTAACATTTTGTTATAGAGCTGGAAACTGGGGGTGGGAGGGAAGCTACTTTGCAGTAATTATGTAAGTAGGTTATTTAGTGATTCAGAAATTTAATAAGAAAGTTTGACATTCAAGACTTTTCCATACATAATATACAATTCAGTTTCAAAATGTTCATTACCTTTTAATTAAGTTAATCAGAAACTACATAGACGTGTACTCTAATCTGTGTTTGGTGAATAAACAAGCATATTGGTCAAAAATGTAATTTCTTGTCAGAAAAGAAAATTAGCAGGAGCCATGTTTTCAACTTTTCAAATTAAATTAACAAACTGTGCTGAATAAACATAAAGATATGCCACAATAGTATAAATGTGGCTCTATGGGGACTGTGCTTTCTTTAATGTTTTTTTAAACATGACATTAAACATATTTTTCAAACCAAAATGAATCCAGGCGTTACCTTGTTCCAACTAATTATTTTATTGAACAGAAAACACAAGCAATGACGGATGTCTCACTTTTAAAAATAAGAAACTTGGTGTTTTCTTCTCATATGAAAGTATACATTATTTTCTTAGACCTTGACATCTCAACATGTAAAAACAAATCTATTAGTGAACAGTTTTAAAGGCCAGTCGTGTCCCCCTCTCTTCTGTACACTTAAATCCCAGTTTGCTAAACAACAGCATCTCTAAACGCTGTTCATGAGCTCAACTCATCGATTTATCATCCACACAACATTGTTACATGACAGAAAATTAAACCGTCCTGGAGAGATTTAACACGTATGCCAGGACAGAAATCATCAGTAATTGCATTGGCTTCGTCTTTCTTCAGTGCCAAATCCTCTCAAAACAAATTTGATGTCTTAATAAGAACATTTCACTATCTTCTATACCTCGGAGCAATCAAAGATCATTGAGGCACTCTATAAACTGGAAAAGCCAAAGTTAAGTCATCCTTCTTTACAGAAAGCTTGAAGGCAGAGGCAATAAAAGAAAATGCAGGTTATGCGCCTGTTTTCAGACACTTTCTCAGTCTGAAGAGGATATTTATCCACTTGTCTTCTTCCATCAGGAAGGTTGAGGTCTGGGTTAGTCATAAAACCGGACCCCCTGCCGAGCAAACACTTTGGAGTCACACAGTGCTAAAATCTGGGATGATCTTCCTACCCAGCAGGAAATTCTTCCAACCTTGTCTTCCCTGGGTCTTTTAATAATTAGAACAGACACCTGGCCAGCTAAACTATGGCTCAATTAGAATTTACAATGGAAAATGTTGACAGAATAAAAAGCGAGACGTGGCCATTTAAAAATTGTCCTGTTAGAAAATGCATGCAGTGCCTTGCACAATATGCGTTTTTTTTCCACATTTCGTCACAATACAAGCACAAACTTCAATTAATTTTATTAAAACTTAATGCGACACACCATCAGTTATAGTTCTGGCTGTTGCAGTCTCGACAGGTTTCCTTCTAGGACTGGGCTCCATTTACTCTACCCACATTCCCATCAACTCTGACCAGCTTCCCTGACCCTAAGAGAAACATCTGCACAGCATGATACTGCCACCACCATTTTTCAGTAAGACAGTTATTAGTTCAGAGTGATGTCTGCCACATGTTTGCTGTGGCCTCTGTACGCCTTCTGGCAGAATGCAAACGTTACCTCCCACAGTTTTCGTTCAGCAGCAATAAATCGCATTCTGAAGGTAATTGATTTAGCTGGATGCTATTAAAAGGAATCTGTGTAAAAGGCGAAGAAAACAAATGCATGACCCAGTTTTCTCATTTTTATTTTGTAAAAAGTGGTGCAAGCTTTTCCTTCCACCTTACATTCCCGCGCGATGTTGTGTTGGTTTATGAAATAAAATCCAACAAAATCAAAAAAAAGGCACCGCAGCATCACACAAACTCACATTGACTCCCGAACATACGAAGCAACAGTCATGCTTATGCACTTCCGATCTGCAATTTACTCTGGGGTACAAAAGCAAATGAAAACACACACCCAGAGCTTTCAGTGACTAATCTGCAGTGGGAGGTGGACGGCTTGAAGTCGGTGCAGACTCCAGCTAAATAAACCATCTAAGGATTGACACATCTAAGTAAAGACACGAGAGGACCGACTCTGTGCAAGAATTTCCCCTGCTTTTTTCTGTGGCAGCACACTGCTTTATATTCAACAGACAACATACACGCTGAGAGCTAATTCTCCTCATCGGTCCACGCGTTGCTTCTACAATCCTGCAATTGCGTGTCTGTGTGGCGGTGACCGATATATCTAGAATATAGATAAACTCATTGTCGGATGTGAAGCCGCCTGCAAGAGAACAAAGAGCATAATTTTGCCTTCAGAGCCCCGACGTATTTGCTTTTCAGCGGGTGGTTGGATTTAGTAGTTCACAAATGGTTTGAATGTCTGCATCTCACTTTGTCCAATCTTAGAATGAAAAGGAAGTGGTTGACTTTAGATAGCAATCTCTTGGTGATCTAAAAGGCTTGGTGGAAAGAAAAAAGGAGAGCAATATACAGCAAGCTGCCAAAAAGAAGGTGTTTAATGCTGCTTTAATTGAAGTGGCCCGCTCCATTTTGGAGCTCTTAGCTGTGTGCAAGCTGCAGGAAGGCAGTCGGCGCTCGGGAATGTCTCTGTCATGCCGTTTATAGCCGAGCCCGCGTGGCTCAGACCGGTGTGTGAACGCAGGCCCTGGGAGACATCCTCAAGGTGAGAGGAGATGCAAATATGCACGGATTCTCCAGACTGATGTTGAAACCGAATGAATTGCAGTTTTAACATAAAAACGGCCATATCAAAAGCGAGATGTAGGTCAGCTGATGACGCGTGGAGGAAAAAATATTCCCAGACCCCAAATCAAGCCTGCTGATGGCGAACACTTCCAGCTGAGAGAATTTTTTTTTTTTTTTTGAATAAAGCCTCGCACACCAGCCTCGTCGTTTGTGCGGATTTCATTTTATTTTTGAATGTAGCAACAAATAGAAATCATCAGGCATACCACAACAATAGCTAACAGGGGAAAAAAAAGGAAAAAACTCACAAAGGGCGTTTCACCCACCCCCCCACCCCAACACAATGTTCGGCGTGCCTCTGATAACAGCAGCGATGTGTGTGGAAGATAAATGAGGAAGATGGACCTGAGATAAATGCATTCCTCTCTGTTGTTGTCTCCTAATTAAAGGCCTTTTTAGCCCCTTTATTACATTGTGGCTCATCTATCTGGCTCACAGTGCGCCCTTCTAAAGACTGCAAATCGACGGCATGCACGTTTCGCTCGTTAATCTGCGTGCTGATGTGCACATGCGTGCAACCTTCGCACCCTCTGCCCATTTCATTCACTCGTGCCGGTCTCCCCGTTTCTCCTTGACTCACTTCAAAGAGGACCCCCTCGCTCCCTCCCCAAACCCTCTGAAAGTGCCATTCTCCTTGGTGCTTATGGCTGATAGGCTGTGGCCTCATTCCCTCACCACTGCAGCCTGTCCCCATTGTGTCCCGCTCTCAGAGAGGAGCGTGTGGGTGGAAGACAGACTGGCTCTCCAAAGTGAGTGCCTGACATGAATGTATGGGCTCGGGGTGTATCCTCTCACCAAGTCGAGCTATCATCCACCTGCAACTCCCAGC